AAGATTCTTCCTTTATAATCCTATATAAACCTGTGTTCAGCCATTATGGCCCCGTCCTACCCTCAGGGGTTATGATTTGAACAAACTTGAATCTACACTACCTGAGGATGCTTCCACATGAGTTTGATCTTTTCTGGCCCAGTGGTTCTGGAGAAGAAGATTTTTAAAGATTTTTCCTTTATAATCCTAATATATAAACCTAAGATCGTCCATTGTGGCCCCGCCCTACCCCCTGGGGTCATGATTTGAACGAACTTGAATCTACACTACCTAAAGATGCTTCCACATGAGGTATCATCTTTCCTGGCCCACTGGTTCTGGAGAAGAAGATTTTTAAAAGATGCCATTAATTTTTAATCAATTCATAATTATTTGGCCTTTATTTGAACAAACTTGAATCCCCTTCACCCAAGGATACTTTGTGGCAAGTTTGGTTGAAAATGGCCCAGTGGTTCTTGAGAAGATGAAAATGTGAAAAGTTTACGACAACGACAACAACAACAATTACTACAACAGACAACGGACAAATTTTGATCAGAAAAGCTCACTTTATACACAAAACAAAACAAGGTTTAAGAGGTTCAGTTGGTTTAATATTTAACATATCAATAATCCATAAAAAACATGAACACATAGAAAAAATATATACAGTAATGTAAATCTCAAAACTCATACTTGTCTGGCACTCTGGGGGCTACTCTTTACTTTCTCTACCTTTCCTTCCAACTCTTAACTGCGATCAATAAATAAAGCCACTCCAACCTGATCTCGAAACAATTAGACCCAATTCTGCCTAGAGCTGATCCCTAAAGGCAAGCACCAAAAACAACTCCGGGCTGATCCCAGGAGTGCACAATGCCTGGGGCTGATCCCGGCAGGCTACTAACAAAACAATCCTCTGGGCTGATCCCAAGAGGATGCTCAACAAGAAACACGCCTAGGGCTGATCCCTAGAGGCAAGCACAAATCGGCACTCCGGGCTGATCCCAGGAGTGATATGCCTGGGGCTGATCCCAGCAGGCCACGAAAACCTGACGGACCTTTGGTCTGATCCCGAGAGGATGTAAACAAGATACCTAGCCTTGGGCTGATCCCTAAAGGCTAAAGTAGAACCCACACTCCGGGCTGATCCAAGGAGTGCATCACGCCTGGGGCTGATCCCAGCAGGCTACATAACCAGACAAATACCTTCGAGTACAAACTATGGGCTAATCCCATTGTTTTGATGCATAAAATATAACCATTCTTATATACATGTACTACACTATACAATCGAAGTATTTAAACAGAACAAATCCACTTCAGACACACAAAATTTAAATATAAGTAATATTGGGGGCAAAATTCCCCAGGAATGAACGCTAATGAGCAGCCCCAAAGAGAGCCAAGGGCGCTGCAGGGGATGGAGGGTGGGTAGCTTCTGTACAATAGTCCGTGACTTCCAGGCTCCAACTGCAATTGCCAGACTCCCCCTCTAGGCATCAATGCCCCTGGCTACTCTTTTCTTACTGGTCTGAGTGAATCCAAAAAATACCCCATAAACAAAAACTATTTATAGAAACACATCCTGATTACATAAAAAAATAAAATGCAACAAATTTAGTTCAGTCACAAAGGCTAGAAAAGACAATTTGTGTATAAATAATAATTTAATGTCATTAAATATCAATTTATACACAAAACAAAACAAGGTTTAAGAGGTTCAGTTGGTTTAATATTTAACATATCAATAATCCATAAAAAACATGAACACATAGAAAAAATATATACAATAATGTAAATCTCAAAACTCATACTTGTCTGGCGCTCTGGGGGCTACTCTTTACTTTCTCTACCTTTCCTTCCAACTCTTAACTGCGATCAATAAATAAAGCCACTCCAACCTGATCTCGAAACAATTAGACCCAATTCTGCCTAGAGCTGATCCCTAAAGGCAAGCACCAAAAACAACTCCGGGCTGATCCCAGGAGTGCACAATGCCTGGGGCTGATCCCGGCAGGCTACTAACAAAACAATCCTCTGGGCTGATCCCAAGAGGATGCTCAACAAGAAACACGCCTAGGGCTGATCCCTAGAGGCAAGCACAAATCGGCACTCCGGGCTGATCCCAGGAGTGATATGCCTGGGGCTGATCCCAGCAGGCCACGAAAACCTGACGGACCTTTGGTCTGATCCCGAGAGGATGTAAACAAGATACCTAGCCTTGGGCTGATCCCTAAAGGCTAAAGTAGAACCCACACTCCGGGCTGATCCAAGGAGTGCATCACGCCTGGGGCTGATCCCAGCAGGCTACATAACCAGACAAATACCTTCGAGTACAAACTATGGGCTAATCCCATTGTTTTGATGCATAAAATATAACCATTCTTATATACATGTACTACACTATACAATCGAAGTATTTAAACAGAACAAATCCACTTCAGACACACAAAATTTAAATATAAGTAATATTGGGGGCAAAATTCCCCAGGAATGAATGCCAAATGAACGAAGTAATGAGTGAAGCCCCCAAGAGTATTAGCTCACTTAAGCCTTCAGCTCAGGTGAGCTAAAAATCTTGATGATTTTATTTATGTTCTGAAATACATCCACAAAACAGCTTCTGTCTTACTATTTTGCTAAAAAACAACCTTTCTTACATTTATTTTTATATTTAATGATAAAATTCTGTAGTCTTAGCATTTAGCCAATTATCGATATTACAAAAACATGCTGCAATACATTATTTTTTGTCACTGTTTTGCAATATCCCGAAATATCGATATTTTTGCTCAGCCCTATTCCCTATTGTGGCCCCGACCTTCCCCAGAGGATCATGATTGAACAATTTAGAATCTACCCTACCTTAGAATGATTCCACATAAGTTTCAGCTTTTCAGGCCCTGTGGTTCTTGAGAAGGAGATTTTTTAATGACCCCATCCTATTTTTGTCTTTTCTTGATTATTTCCCCTTGTGAGGAAACTTGGCCCTTCAATTTTAAAATTTAAACTCCCCTTCACCCAAGGATGCTTTGTACCAAGTTTGGTTAAAATTGGTTAAAATCCCCTATTGCCTGTAAAATATTTCGGATTCACTTCCTTTTCATCTTCATAAAGTACTCTCAATTAGATCCAAAATATAAAGTTAAGTCCATCGATCCTTTCAGACATGTCAACTTTAATAACAAAACTATACTTTTAACTGTACGTTTTGATACAAAGATTATTAGTGTTGAAGTCTCTACAATAATCACAGGACCTCAACTGTGTTATAACCAATAATACTCTCAAAGTGGAATGACAATATTCTTTTCATGATTTAAATTCAGCTTCTGTTAATCTTTTGTTTCTCTTTGTGTTATTTAAAGGAAATATTTTACTCATTATTTAAAGGAAATACAGTGAAATATCAGTATCTCGAAGTTGAGGGGACCTAGACAGGACTTCGAGATATTCGAGGGTTCGAGATATCTGAAGTTGTCTTCAAAAGTCGAATAAAAACTTTCCTGTTTTTCTTTTTCGTATATATCTTCATGCTTAACACTATCCTGTATTACCAAACATGTAGTCTTTATGGTAAAGACTCAAGCATATTCGCAATAAATATTAAGAAAAACAATGTTGTTGTTTTCTTTATCATGTATAATTGTAAAACAATTTAATATACACGCCTTATTGCATATACAGCGAATTTACATTTTCCAGGTCATGCTTACAAGGTCAAACGGGATGTATCATTAGCGTTATAGTTGAAGAACCCTCTCCGTAAGAAAAGAAAAAGACGAATTTTTTAAAAACATTATTTGCTGAAATTTGGTGCCAAGTGTTTTTTAGAGCACTAAAAAATAATCAGTATTCAAACTGTGTATTTTGAATATTATTAATAGCTTACATGCATTACATTACGAAGTACTACTAAGGAACATATAGTTTACGAAACTAACAATGCAAATGGTGGTCAAGGTTATTTATTTATACGCAGATATCAATCACTGTAAATTACGCACTGCAACTTAACTGTTTAAGTTAATGAAAAATCTTTGTGTTTTATGAATTTATGATTTTAATTATACAGAGCATATTATCAAATGCAATATCGGTAATAGTGTCTGTATTTAATTTCTGAGTTGCTGCGAAGTGGTTTGTTTTATCAGTCGTAGACTACCTCAAACACCCAAGCTGTCATACCAATTAACCTGTCACAGATACCAAACATGATCTTCGGGTTAATTAAGATTCCCCAAGTTTGAAGGTGTTAATAGCCACTGGCGAGAATGTGTGAAGTCATGACGCCAGGTGTGTTCAGTAGACCGAAAAATTCACTGCACTTCGAGATAAGCCAGGTAAAAAAGGGCTTGGGACTTTGAATATACTTCGATATAAGCGGGGTATTCAAGATTACCGTGTTCGAGATATCAGTAGTTTTTTAAATCATATATATAGAGAAAACGGCCGGGACCGGCGATCGACTTTGACATAAGCGGGGTATTCGAGATATCCCATGTTCAAGATACTGATATTTACCTGTATTTTAGTCATGTATTTCTACTTTAAAATTTTAAAATAAAAAATCTTGTTGAGAATAATTTATAAAGCGACAGAATCTTTGTCTATGAGTAATGTCAGGAAAGGCAAGAGATTTAACTCTGTAAAGAAGCATGTGTTTTGCGTTATTTGTAACAAGCAATAATTTACATTAAATTTAGTACATAATGAAAACCAACCTAGAAACATGAGGCCCATGGACCACATTGCTCACCTGAATAACTTTGGCCATGCTGTTCTTTATCAGATATACCCTGTGTAATTATCTATTGTGAACCTGCCCTATCCCAAGGGGTCATGATTTGAACAATTTAGAATCTGCACTGCCCCAGGATGCTTCCACATAAGTTTCAGCTTTTCTGGCCCAGTGGTTCTTAGGTTATGTTTAAACATTTTTCCAATATATTTCAATGCAAATTGATTCCCTATTGTGGCCTCCCTTTTGTTACAATTCAGTACCCATGAGCACTTACTTTGCCTGTAGAGCATTATTCAATCGGATTCCATCAGCTAGCCCACAAATCTGAATAAGATCATCTCGTGTCAGACGTAATATATCTCCACCTACAATACCAAAAAACAGCACTGAATATCTTATTTACAGAAAACCCTTGCGTTATGCTTTTAAATAATTTCTGATACTTTTAAGAACTGTCCAATAGGGACAAATACCCCCCGCTTGGTTTTTCAGAGGTGCCACTTCACAAATACTTTATGGATCTAGAGGTGCATGTTCACAATTTACTTACAAAAATTTGCAGTGAAATATAATTGCTCATTATATTTCTTAATGAACCAAACAAAGGTGCAAACAAAGGAAACATCAATACTAATACTAGTACATTGTAATTCCATTGTAACATTTTTTTTTTATTTCTGCATTAAAAAATATATATATATTGCAATTTTATATCAAATTCATTTTGAAAATAAGAGCTGGTCATCCAGTAATGAAGTGCTTTGACAGACAATAAATTACAATTAAGAGAATAAGAGAAGAGAGATCTTTAATTCTTGTGCCAAATTCCCAGGAGATTATAGATAACACATGCTTGATAAGAAGATGCCTTAACAACTTCCCACACCAAATTCATTAATTTATCTTTAACTGGATGCATGTCCAGTCATTATTCCCATGAGACAAATGAATTTACATTATCTTCTGTATAATGTAAAAACTGTTTTTAACACGATGATGTTTCTTTTTTTTTTTTTTTAGTTTTAATGAGTAGTTTTTAGCTGTAGTTCACATTTTTGTACAGATGTTCTAGATTCTATGTCTCAAACCTTATACATGAGCCCAAAATGAACAAGTCAATTAAAATGAAAAATAAAACCTGTAAAATGCGGAAAAATGAACAAATAAAGTTGAAAATTCCAGGTGCACACCTTCATATGGTGAATAATAAGTGTACAAATTTTCAGATAAATCCTCGCAATAGTTTCTGAGAAACGGTCTGCACAAAACCACAAAATAAAAATGAAAAAAAAACACCTGTAAAATTCAAAATAATCATCCAGTCAAGATAAAAATATCAGGTGCACACCTTCATGTGGTGAACAATAAGTGTACAAATTTTCGAACAAATCCTTTCAATAGTTTCTGAGTAATGGTCTGGACAAAATCTTGTCTACAGACAGATGGACAGCTAGAGGGACGGACAGACGGACATGGTGATTCCAATATACCCCCCTAAACTTCGTTTGCGGGGGGTATAATAATGACCACTATTGAAATAATTATTTCAATAGTGGTTGAGAGTGCATTTCAATAATAAACATAGGTTGCAACCACTTTTGAAATAATGTTCACTTTTGAAATGAAGATTTCAATAGTGATTAAAATATAGATTTCAAAAGTGATTGAAATATACCCTGGTAGATTTTAATAGAGCTTTAAACAATGATTCCAATAGATCTCAAAATTATTATTCTAATAGTTGCTGACAATACCAAAACCACATTGCAAGCTTCATAGAAGTATCCCAACTATTAAAACAAATATAATGGATGAATTGCACATTATTTTCTTACACAAGAAACTAATTTATTTAGTTAACCAGAAGTCTCTGTCGAGACTGAAGCTCTACTGGTTTGTACTTATAGCAAAGAAAGAGAAAAGTACTTAAGCAGTTGGAAATTGAAACTTTTCAACAGCAATAAATAGAATAATGATCCTTAATTAAGTCTCTTTATGTTCTTAGTGCAGTCTACTTGCATGCCACATTTATATTATAATCAGAATAAAATTGTATTTGGAGTAGCATTTTGAAAGAATTTCACAGAAATGTCTATTTTTAGTAACCACGGCAACACCGTTCATCGAAATCAAAAACCGATACACAGAATTATGTATCTTATTGTAGTCTACTTGTGTGCCAAGTTATATTGAAATCAGACCAAAACTGTAGAAGGAGTAGCATTTTGAAAGAATTTCATAGAAATTTCTATTTTTTAGTAACCACGACAACACCGTTCATCGAAATCAAAAACTGATATACAGAATTATGTATCTTATTGTAGTCTACTTGTGTGCCAAGTTATATTGAAATCAGACCAAAAATGTAGAAGAAGTAGCAATTTGAAAGAATTTCACAGAAATTTCTATTTTTAGTAACCACGGCAACACCGTTCATTGAAGTCAAAAACCAATATATAGAATTGTGTATCTTAGTGCAGTCTACTTGTGTGCCAAGTTATATTGAAATCAGACTAAAACCGCAGGAGGAGTAGCATTTTGAAAGAATTTAACAGAAATTTCTATTTTTAGTAACCACGGCAACACCATTCATCGAAATCAAAAACCGATACACAGAATTATGTATCTTAGTGTAGTCTACTTGTGTGCCAAGTTATATTGAAATCAGACCAAAACTGTAGGAGGAGTAGCATTTTGAAAAATTGTTTACAGACAGACAGACAGACAGACGGACAGACAAACAGACAGACGGACGGACGACGGACGCATTACTATCGCATAAGCTCTTCTGGTCTCTGACCAGTAGAGCTAAAAATATGATTACTAAAGTTTTTTTATGTTTACCTTTTTTGTAGAAATTTCAATTAATACAGGGGCACTTTTTATTAAACTGACCTATATGTACCTATAATTCAATCTTGAATGCAAATGTTATTAGCAAGCTCTCGCTGAATCTGGTCGAATTGCCGAAAACCAACAGACAATCAAATAATATATGCAATTTTAAAATAATTTTTATTGATTTGGAAAGGAAAGGATATCATAAATACATCTAGATGTAGAAATTAGAATATCTAGACTAAACTGAAACAAGAGGCCCATGGGCCAAATCGCTCACCTGAGAAGCTTTGACCATTCTGTTCTTTACCATATTTTCCCTTTGTAATACATTATGTGACGTACCCCACCCTACCCCATTGATCATAATTTAGACAATTTACAATCTACACTACTTAAGGATGCTTCCACATAAGTTTCAGCTTTTATTGCCCAGAGAAGTAGATTTTAATAGATTTTTCCTATATATCTCCATGTTAAACTTTGATTCCCCATTGTGGTTAACGTTCCTTCCCACTGTGGGTCATGATTTGAACAATTCAGAATCTACACTACCCCAAGATGCTTCCACATAAGTTTCAGCTGTTCTGGCCCAGTGGCTCTTGAGAAGAAGATTTTAAAAGATTTTTCCTATATATTTCTATATTAAACTTTGATTCCCCATTGTGGCCCCACCCTACCCCCGAGGTCATGATTTGAACAATTTAGAATCTACACTATCCCAAGATGCTTCCACATAAGTTTCAGCTTTTCTGGCCCAGTTGCTCTTGAGAAGAAGATTTATAAAGATTTTTCCTGTATATTTCTATGTTAAATTTTGATTCCCCATTGTGGCCCCAACCTACCCCCGAGGTCATGATTTGAACAATTTAGAATCTACACTATCCCAAGATGCTTCCATATAAGTTTCAGCTTTTCTGGCCCAGTGGTTCTTGAGAAGAAGATTTATAAAGATTTTTCCTACATATTTCTATGTTAAACTTTGATTCCCCACGGTGGCCCCTTCCCACTGTGGGTCATGATTTTAACAATTTAGAATCTAAACTACCCCAGGCTGCTTCCACATAAGTTTCAGCTTTTCTGGCCCAGTGGTTCTTGAGAAGATTTTTAAAGATTTTTCCCATATATTTCCATGTAAAACTTTGATTCCCCATTGTGCCCCTGCCCAACCCCCGGGAGTCATGATTTGAACAATTTAGAATCTATACTACCCCAAGATGCTTCCACTTAAGTTTCAACTTTTCTGGCCCAGTGGTTCTTGAGAAGAAGATTTTTAAAGATTTTTCCCATATATTTCTATGTAAAACTTTGATTCCCCATTGTGCCCCTGCCCAACCCCCAGGAGTCATGATTTAAACAATTTAGAATCTACACTACCCCAAGATGCTTCCACATAAGTTTCAGTTTTTATTGCCCAGTGGTTCTTGAGAAGAAGATTTTAAAAGATTTTTCCTTTATAATTCTATGTAAAACTTTGATTCCTCATTGTGGCCCCGCCCTACCCCGGGGGTGGGGTGGGTGGGTCATGATTTGAACAATTTAGAATCTACACTACCCCAAGATGCTTCCACATAAGTTTCAGCTTTTCTGGCCCAGTGGTTCTTGAGAAGAAGATTTTCAAAGATTTTTCCTATATATTTCTATGTTATAATTTGATTACCCATTGTGGCCCGGCCCTACCCCCGGAGGTCATGATTTGAACAATTTAGAATCTACACTACGCCAAGATGCTTCCACATAAGTTTCAGCTTTTCTGGCCCAGTAGTTCTTGAGAACAAGATTTTTTAATGACTCCAACCTATTTTTGTTTTTTCTTGATTATCTCCCCTTGTGAGGGGACTTGGCCCTTCATTTTAATAATTTAAATTCCCCTTCACTCAGGGATGCTTTGTACCAATTTTGGTCAAAATTGGCTCAGTGGTTCTTGAGAAGAAGTCAAAAATGTGAAAAGTTTACAGACGGACGGACGGACAAAATGTGATCAGAAAAGTGAAAAATGAAAAAAGACTGATAATTTTGAGTACAAACTTTCTCATGAAAATATTGTTATTTTTAATAAAAAGAATATAGAATAGAATAGAATTGTTGCTTATATTCATAGGATTACCTGCACTACAAATATGGATAGTAGAGTCAAAGTCTACTCTTCAAGATATTAACTAGAACTGTCCAAATGGGACAAAATAACCCCCGCTGGGTTTTTCAGAGGTCCTAAATCATGAATATTTTATGGATCTAAGAGAAGAGAGAAATGCTAAAACATTTTTAGTCAAATGTAATTGTTGCTCACTATATTTTTCATAAATGAAACAAAAGTGCAGCCTAATAAAAAAAACTAGATGCTGTCATGAGACAGTAATACCCGCACTAAGGTGTTTGCCTCTAAATACACAATCCTACGGGCAGCTTACCAAGGAGAAAGTCAAAATAATTCTATATAATTCAGGCACGTAGCATCGTTTTTGAAAGTGGGGGGGGGGGGCAACCTGAGAAATTGTTTTTTACTTACCTAAAAAAATTAACAAGG